ATCCACTCGTGCACTTTGGCTAATAACCTTGCAAACACATTCCATACCATCCCTTGAAACTGTTCCAAGCCCTAAACACCAACTGTAACACTCCTAACCCCATCTGCCATTTTCATTTTTCAGTTTTGCAGGTGAACTTCCATAGCTCGTTTCAGTCAGTTTCAAAGTAAGCTAGAGGTTGGAGAAGCATCCCTGGACCTCAAGCAAGCTATACAAGTCCTCACATTGCATTGAAAGTACCTTCATTGTCATACACGAATCAAGCTGAACAGGTAAGTTTTTGAACTTCTATCTCTCTATCCAGGCATAGTTAGGCTTAAGTTTGTGAAAAAAGCATGTTCTAATCATAGCCCTGAAGCCATCCATATAGTTACTTTTCATTTATGTTGTGTATGCTGAGAGAATTTTGAAACTGAATATCTGAAAAAAGCTAGGTCAGGAATTGGGGGAGAAGAAATTCTCTCTCATTTCTGAGAGTTAGATCAAGTTCTTGGTATGTATGGATTCGTGATTTGATGCTTGACATTTTTTTGTGTTATAAGTTTGTGCTAAAAATCAAAGAATCAGGATGTTTGAATCAAGCAAAGAAGCGCGCGTTTTTTAGAACAGGGATGGCTGGAGGTTGAAGAAGCTTGTCCTTTGGGCTGGGCCTGATTCATTTTCCTTTTTGCACCACTATTTCACACACACACACCCTTGGCCCATTGTGTGATTTTTTAATCATTTTTTACTTTTTCTTTTTTATTCTGACTTGTTATTTTTTGACAAAACATAAAAAATATTAAAAATATTTTTCCATACATTTTTGCATTTTATTTTGAATTTATTTGCTTTGTTTACATTTGTATATATAAATAAATATAATGCTTTTATTTAAAACCTTAGAAATAATGTGAAAATATATACTTTTAGTTATTATTTTTATTTGCATTTTCTGAAAACATTTTCTAAAAAATATTTTTTTTTATAAATAATAAATATTTTTATTTTTGTACATATTTAATATATTTAGTAAATAATATAAATACTTATATATTTATTAGAATATTTAGGATAAAAATACAAAAATAATACATTTTTTTATTTTTATTAATATTTAACCTCAAAAATACTTTTTACAATGTACTTCCTTTTTATTTATTTTTTGTACATAATTAATAAATATTATATATATTAAATAATAAAATACTTTTTTATTTTAGCAAAATTAGGGTTTTTGCCCTAAACATGAAAATATCCAAATTAACTTTTTTTATTTATTTTTATTTCACTTGTAAATAAAATATACACTTACACAAATACATTTACACATACATTTACTTATTCTTATACATTACTTTACATTTACATTTGCGATTAATTCGATTTGGTTGTAAATATTGGACACTATCCTCCTATTAAGTCTCATCCCCATTTGAACATTTGTACCCCCATCCCATAATTGTGTTGTAATAATTTAGGATTTTATTTTTTGCATTTAAAAGCTTTCTAAATATGCCATGGTAGACTTAGGGTTTGTATGCAAAAAAAAAAAATCAACCAAATAAATAGCTTGACCTAATTCAAAGATAACAAAGCATGAAAATGGACAACACCAATCACACTTGCACCCCTAGGGTTACTCCACTTGTTGCCTTCAATAATGGGCCATGTTGCATGTTAGGTGTCTTTGGCAAAACAAAACAATATCAAATGATCATAGTCCCTCGATGACGCTTTCGAAAGTTGCCTAAAAATGATCAAGTCCCTTAAAGGAAAAATTGCCAAAAGACACTTAGCACCATTGCAATCATGGTCTAAACGATGACCCGCACCTGTCCCGTTCACATCCTAACACAATATTGTCCACCAAATACAATGGTGGAACAAAATTGTTAAAAGGGTTAAAACATAGAAAAAACCTTTGAGTAAATTTAGGGGTAGACAACTCTTAGTTACTTGATAAACTTGCAAAACCATCCTTGCCTATTTTTCAAAACACACATCACAACACACTTTCAAAAACAACTTTCAAAAACATTGAAATTTTTTTCAAAAGACATACACCCTTGTATACATCCAAACATGGATCATTGCAAAGGTTGCCACCACATTGGCCTCTTTTCAAAACATTTTCAAACCCACACACAAAGCACCATTTCAAACAATTGAAAACCAAAGGCAAGTGATCTAAGCAAGTAACTAAGAGCCCATGGATAACCATGGATATAAAGGGTGCTAATACCTTCCCTTTCTATAATCTATCTCCCGAACCCAAGAAAACATCTCAAAGGTTTTTGCTGTGCTTTTTAACCTTTCCTTAGGATAAAATAAAAAGTCGGTGGCGACTCTTGCTCAACCGAAACATTTGCGAAAACAAACGAAAAACCTCAAGTCAGTTCTCCCACCGTATCACACCGGCGTTGACAGCGATTGAGGTTTCAGAAGTTGAAACTTCAACCGCTTCTTTCTTCGTCTTCAACGACCAAGCAAAGGGTTCGTGTTCTTCCTCCGGCCTCTCGATAATCCTTTTTTTCTCCTCTTGTTCTTATTTTTCTCTCTTATTTATAGCTTTTCCAATTAGGTTTATAAATTTTTTAGGGTTCTGTTAATTTGTTAGCGTTATGATTCAAATTAGCAGAAATTTAGGGTTATTAAAGATTTAGGGATTTCCTTCCAATTTGTAATTGATTCTGATATTTAATTAATTCACTTGTAATTGATTTTTTTTGCGATTTGATTTGTAGAAATTTTTGATTCGGTAATGGATTTGATTGTGTTTACAGACTCTGGATTTTTGATTGCTATATATTATTTTGCTGTAATACGCGATAAAGATTTGCTTTCATGTTTGATTTCAACAGTATCTGTTTATACAAGGAAAATGCGTAGATTTTGTTTATGATTGACACAGTAAATGTTATTATTTATTTTTTTGGGCTTTTAGATTTTTGTTTTTGTTTTGGCCAAGCAATACAGCAAGACTCTCTCTTCTACCTTTGGCGTAACCAGACCCAATTGGCCTTTCAATAATCCAACTTTTAATATATTTGATATAAAACATTATTATAATAAAATTTCCAACAGTAATAGTAAAATATAGCATTTTTCGTAATAAAGAGATATATACTTTATAACCAGTCATCACACACACACATATATATATATATATATATATATATATATATATATATATATATATATATATATATATATATATATATATATATATATATATATATATATATATATATATATATATATATATATATATATATATATATATATATATATATATATATATATATATATATATATATATATATATATATATATATATATATATATATATATATATATATATATATATATATATATATATATATATATATATATAACTTTTTAATAGTTTAATCAGAAGGATATGCTTTATAAAGAAACATTTTTTGTAATAATTAAGAGGTTCCCTTTTTTTTAAATGATATTCTTTTTTTCTTCTAAAAACACTATTCTTTAATCACATTCAACAAATAGGTTCACCATTAGTACAAAAACGTATTATTTGTTTTCTTTATTAGAATAATAATAATGAATAATTTCCTTAATAATAACAGTAATATTTCTTTTCTTCAAAAACATCAAATGGGCCAACTAAAAAAGCTTAATGGGGGCTTAGTTAGTAAGCATATATCCCTTTTTACTGACTTCAAATAGCACTTTAAACAGGCTTATGTACTATATTTAATAATTATTTAATAAATAAGAGCTTAATAAGTATTTGAATAATTTTTACTTTTGAATCGCATGGGCCATTGGCCAACACGCTACGCGAATGGGTTTATGAGTCTTTCTGATTTGGAGAGCCCTATTTTCCCGAGCTAAAATACACCTCCTTTCTTAGATAAAAAATGGGACATCAGATACTGATATACCATCTTTAATTAAATGTTTCTTCTATTTTAATCTTGAAAAACGAGTTTATCGAGGTAGGACAAATTTGGGTTACGACAGTTGAGAGTTGCACCAATTATGTAGAAAAATCTCCTTAAATCTTAGAACAAAACATCAAGTTTCCTAAATTATCTCCACATCCGATTTTAGAAACTTGTGTACAACTGGAGATTAGATCACTTGTTCCTGATTAAATTTTCTCGACATGCGTAAATAATTAAGATATACCCAAAAAAAATATCACAAAATCAAATCAAATCTGTCAAGATTTAAAACAACATGTACTGATGTTCTGTTACAATATGTAACAACATCTGTCAGAATATCTGTCTTCAATGTAAGTTCACACTTTGTTGTATTAGTTTGATCAAGATGTTATGACATTTTATTTAATATTTATCATGAACCATATTTTAGCAAAATTGCTGTCAATATTAAAATCATAGATCTATCATATGTAAATTTCAAATATTTAGGATTAGTTGAAAACTTAAATGATTTAATGATATGGGATAAATTTTTGTGTAAAACAATAGGGGATTAATTATTAATTGGAGAGACGGAAAGTTTATGGCTGAAATTTATTTAGAAAGAGAAAGTTAATGGCGGATTAAAATGAGGGTAGAATGGAAAGAAAAAAAACTCTGACAATCCATTATCTTAAAAAGACACTTAAGAAGAAATGGAGGGAGTATTCAAGAGCATTTAAAAGAGATTGTAACAAATTTCTTATCGATTATCAAACTAGTGACTTGAAGGATCCCATGATAAATTTTGCCAATTATAAATATCAAACAACCAAGTGAATCAACCATACAATTAGTTTCATGATTTGAACAACTTTTTGTTAGAGTGAGATATCTAGCTTTATAAACTGATGAAATATATAAGAAGCCACTCCAACCACCTGATTGATAATCTGATTACATGGTTCAGAACAAGAACAGCTACATAAATATCTTGCCTCAAAAGACATCCTTACAAAACCATACACGTTCAACCAAATTACCAACATTAACACGGACTTTAACAACGCAGTTTTAAGCCGTGCAAGACATGTTCCATCTCCACTAGTCATCATCAATGTAGATAGTCTCTTGCTTAAACAGGCCACCAAATACCTTCCTAAGCTCCTTTGGTGCTTCTGCTTTTCTTTTTTCCTCCTTTGGTTTACTCACACTGTTTTTTGGACTTGTTTGTTTAGTCACTGCTAATTTCGGAATGAGACTCCGAGCCTTTGCCTGTCCCCTCACTGTGGCAACTTGCACCTTTGGTTTCTCATTCTCATCAGGCTTTTGAATTGAGGTGGCAACCTTTGAGCTGAACTTTTGCCATGAAAACCCTGCACCAAAATCTTTTGCCTTGCTCAAGATATCTTCCACTGCTGCTCCATTTCCAGCTACTTCTGCCTTCTCTGGAGCTTCTGGTTTGGAAGGCGTCTTTGCTGTTTCAGCTGCCGCTCTGGCCCCTTCTTCTGCTTTTGCTTTCTCTAATACTTCAGCATAGGCTTTCCTTCTTCCATCTTCCGGAATAGTGCTGCCATGAAACTTATAAATAACATAATGATCCTCCTCGACAACTAGTAAAACAAAACTATATGCTTTCTATCGATGTAAAACACAAAAACACTAGCTATGTTCAGCTTGTTTACCTGAAAAGTTCGTCTACACGCTTCAAGGGAGCATTTGGGTCAGTGTACACTTGCACAACCTATTGGTCAATAAAAAGGCTTCAACTTTAAGGGCCATTGGCAATTATTTTTCAGCTTTTATTAGAATATTTTATCTCTATTGTGCTTCATTTTCAGATCAAACCAAAGGTCAAGATGCAATGTAGAAATGGTAGATGATTGAAGTTCATGATGGTAATGGTCCTACTAGATATCAAATTACAGTGTGCACAATCCAGCTAATGTAAAATTGATACCTTATTTTCTGCAACCTGTGTGTTGGAGAAGACATCAGCCACCAAGGATGCTATCTTAGACTTTGATACCTATATAACAACCATTATTTTCTCAAAAACTATTAACACCAATATGGAAATAAGAAAGTAAAGAAAGGTTAAAAAAAGGACAATTTCATTAAGATATTATGGCATACATTACATTACTTTATAGTCGTTCGAACGGGTGCTTTCTTCGCCTGAGACGACCAAATTATAAGAACTCTCTGGCGCGAAATCATCAGTCAAACTTGTCTTGATTAAGGTATATTTGACGTCTGTTTCAATCACTTTCTGCAAGAACTCTTGAATCGACAAAGATTGAGACCGAGAGAAGAGATTGTTGAAGAATGAGGAGATACCATCAAGTACGTTGTTGGTTGAGGCACTGACGCTTTCGTCATAGATGACTGCAACATGGCCTACACCAGCCAGCTGAGCAGCCTGAATCACTTGCAAGGCGTCTGCCGTGGAGACCTCAGTCGTTGGTCCATCCTCTGTGGGACCAATTGTGACCACCACTTTGCTTGCATTGCCTATCGCTTTTGCTATTGAGTCTGCATCGTCAAAGCTTGACTGCACAGCATTGAGACGCTTTGCCTCTTCATTTGATATAATCTGTGTTCACCAAATAGTCTAATATCAAAATTAAACCATTAATTATGACACCACTGACACATGTCAAACACCAGACACGCATTCAATACATCTGATGTTTGATTGGAAGACGAGTATTAATAATCAAAATTATTACCTTATATTGAGCAGCAAGACGAGCCAATTCTTGAGCAGAAGCAAGTTGAGGAACGCCAGCTCTAACACTAAACCCTTCCCTAAGCAAAGTCTGTGCAATGCGAATACCAGCTTGACCAGTAGCACCAGCAACAAAAACAGTCGAAGAATCCTTTCGCCTTGGACTCCCAAACGAAAAGCCTGGCGCAGAAGAATTGCTATTCCCAACAGGAATCAAAGAAGTTACATCAGGTAATTTCCCAAAGTCGAAACCAAAAGGATTATTACTATTATTATTATTACTATTATTATTATTAGAATTCACCGAACCATTTGATTGGTCTTTTTGTTTTCCCAATCCAAACGAAGGAAATGATCCTCCAGATTTCTTAGCGTAGACATTGAACCTTGATGGACTATTTCGAAATGTTATCTTGGAATGTGTTGGTATAAGAGAAGAATTGGATGTAAGAGTGGGAACCATGGATGGAGGATATAGTTGAGATTTCCAAGCTCACACTCTCTTGTTCAATGAATTTTGGTTTCTGAAAAAACATAGCAGTAATGTGTATAGCTTTTGCTTTGAACCGTTAATCTGGTTTGGTCTTGTGGGAATTATCTGAATGGAAGAGGTAAGCGGAAGCTAGCCAATTGGGTTTAGACACGTAATCAGAATTTATCCACTCATCAAATATCCAACACCAAACGTTTATATTCCACGCAAAATTATTTTTTAATTTCATGCATTTCATCCATTCGTCAAGTATCCTAGACTCCAAATTTGTACTCATATCTTCTAAATTCTAATTGTGCTTCAAAACGTCTTTTTTTTTCTTTCTATAATTACTTAAATATATATGGGCTTCCACCTGTTAATGTAATTGTTGTAATAGAAATTTATAATCAAATGTAGTCTTATAAACTAAAATATTAAAATGGATATATAATCTAAATTAATGACAAAGTAGATGAAATATATTTTCACAGTAATATAATTTAAATATCGATTATATAAAAACATTACAAATATTTTAGAAAAAAATGCAGACAACAATAACAATTTTGGGGGAATCCATGAGGACAATCGTCAATCCGGTCAAGAATAAGTAGAAGTTACAGAAATAATTATAAAGACCAACATATAATATAGTGATTTGCATTAATAATGTTATTGCTAAATAAATTTAAATGATTATTGAAAGTAGTTATTATAACTTATAAAAACGAAACTGGTATAATATCTATTAAATGTTGTAAAAACTTTGTCAAATACAACATTTGTTGTTACGGACAAATTTTATTTTGTTTGTCTTGAATTAAGAATTTCAACCCTTCTTTTGTTTTGATCCTAGACTTTGCAATATATAGCTAATTATGTTAGTTCTGTTCATAATCTTACAATTTATATTAATATAAAAATTAATAATAAAATTCTAAATAAGAACGCATATCTAAATATAATTATGAGAATGAAAGCAGAAACGTGCTTGAATTTGTCATTGAAAATTATTGAAGGTTTGCAGGTATTTGATCTTCTGATTTGTAGATTTTCTTGTAGCTCTTTGATTCTCCTCTGGTGGGGATGAAGAGAGAATTTCTGATAAACTGTTTTGCGTTATCTACAAATGGGGACTATAACTCCTATAAACAACCTTAGGATTATTTTTTAGTTTTCAATAATCTAATTTGACCCCTCATCAAATTAAATATTGACTTATGGTATCTACACATTAATCTTATCTTTCATGATATTTATGTTTTTAGTCACAGACCTATTATTAATTAGACCACTACAACTTTGGCTAATTACATAATGACCCTAACACATGTAACATTACAATTGTGACCCAAATATTCTAACAATCTCCCACTGGCCACATATGTAATCATACGTATGTGCTAGACTTTATTAGTTCAAAATTCGCCATTATATTCCTTAAGTATCTCCAAATTATCTCGTCCATTAGTCATGCCAATATATAGAATCAAGGCAATTTTTGTTATATCAATCATAACTAAACCCATCAATGATCACCAATAGTGGCACAATTAAATGACATAGATCCATCATGAAATATGCAGCATGAAATCACATGAAGTTGGTCTGTAAATGTCGATTTTCAACTAGTCCTACTTTACTTTAGTGAGATCATTCAATAACTTTATTGTATAAAATATAAACTGTTGAATATCAAAACTTAAATAATTTGAAAAATATCTAAAATCATAGTATGCATACATAATACCAAAAAAACAGAACATAAAATTCATAATTGACTAACTCCCACTAAATTAAAGATTCGTCTAACGGTAAAACACCTAGGCGAGCAGTGTGCTCATGAAAGACCTTGGGTGGAAGATCTTTTGTAAGAGGATCTGCTTTCATGGAGTTAGACCCGAGTGTTTTATGGAAATCTGTCAACTTTGTACCTTTCCTTAACAGCTAGAAACTTGATGTCAATATGTTTTGACTTGGACGAGCTCCTGTTATTGTTGGAATACAGGACGACTGATTTACTATCACAGTATAACTTAAGTGGCCTTTCAATTCCTTCCATAATTCGCAGCCCAATGACAAGATTCCTCAGTCAAATCCCATGGTTGGATGTCTCATATAACATGCTATAAACTTTGATGCCATGGTGGATGAAGTCGTAAGATTTTGCTTGACACTGCACCAAGAAACTGTACCACCAGCCAACATGTAGATATAGCCTGAAGTGGATCTTTTACTGTCTTGGCAGTAAAATCTGAGTCAGAGTATTCAGTGATCTCTAACTAGTCTGACCTCCTATATGTGAACATATAGTTTTTTGTTCTCTTTAAATACCTCATAACCCTTTTGGATGCTTTCCAATGATCCATTCCTAGATTGCTCAAATATCCGCCTAACATTCCAACTATGAACGTAATATCTGAACGCGTACATACTTGGGCATACATCACACTCCCTACAGATGACGCATAAGAAATATTTTGCATTTCTTGAATTTCTAAGTTTCCTTTTAGGCACTGATTAAAACTAAATTTGTCTCCCTTAGCTATTGGAGTATCCTCTAGTTTACATTCTTGCATGACAAACCTTTTAAGAACCTTTTCTATATAGCTCCCTTATGATAATCCTAGAATACCTCAAGATCGGTCTCGATGTATATGAGTTTCTAATACAAAGGAGGCGTCACCAAGATCTTTCATTTCGAATGTTCTTGATAGAAATTTCTTGATTTCGTGCATCATAACTATATCATTGGTGGCAAGCAATATGCCATCAACATATAGTACCAGGAAAATGTTCTTGCTCCCATTAAATTTGTGATACACGCAATCTTCAACAAGATTGACCTCAAAACCAAATGAGAGAATTACTTCATGAAATTTGTTGTACCACTGACGAGATGCCTATTTTATTCCATAAATGGATTTTGTCAATTTTAAAACCATATTCTTTGAGTCTCATGACACAAAAATTTTCGGTTGCACCATATAGATCATTTCATCAATGTTGTCATTGAGGAATGGCGTTTTGACATCCATTTGATGGAGTTCCAAATCATAATGTGCAACAAGATTCATGATTGTCCTAAAAGAGTCTTTCGATGAAACTGGAGAGAAAGTCTCTTTAAAGTCAATCCCTTCCTTTTGGGTATAACCCTTAGCCTCAAGACAAGCCTTATACATCTCCATATTACCATTAGAATCCCGTTTGATCTTAAAAATCCATTTGCAACCAATGAGTTTCACACCTTCTGATAATGAGACAAGCTCCCTAACTTTATTGTCATGCATGGACTTATAATCCTCCTTTATTGCTTCAATCCACTTTCTCGAGTTTGAATCCTGCATGGCTTGACGGAAGTTGATTGGATCATCTTCTATCATGCCATTATTTTCCTCATGTTCTTGTAGAAAGACTATATAATAATCCGGAATAACATTTCTCCTTTCTCTAATGGATCTCCACAAAGGTATTGGTTCTTGTAACACCTGTTCTCGAGGACTTTGAGTTTGTTCTTCATGAATTACCAAATCATCTTGAGTAGGATTAAAATCAACAATGTCTTATGGAGGTTTCATACATGCTTGATTAAAAGACTCTAAACTTAATTACTATGTATCACCCAAATTTTTTCTACAACTCCCATTCTTAGTATTTCAAGGAATCACAAGAATCCCATAAATCTGACCTTGAAATACTGATGGAAGATTTCAATGCTTCACTAACTCACTCTTACTCAAATTACCTCTACAACTACCAATCCCAACATTTTGAGGAATCACAAGAATCTCATAAATCCGATCTCGAAATATTAATGGAGGATTATAATGCGATGCTAGGCTAGAAACTATGATGATGGAGCGCTTTGTGGAAACACAAAATGTGACACTAACTCACTTTGAAGAACCGCAAGAATACAATAATTTTAACCTCGCAACATCAATGGAGGATTTCAATGCGACGCTGACTCACTCTAGGATAGAATCTATGATAGAGCACTTTGTAGAGACATAAACTGTCCAAAATGAAGATATAAGAAATCAAAGTCTTCAAAATAATGAAACCCTTAGGCAGATGAACAATGTGGTTGAGTCTCTCGCAACTCACAACATGGCCTTGGAGACTCAAATCTCCTTGCTTGAACAAAAACCTCTAGGACCCTTGCCTAAGAAGCATGTGGATGTTGTAACAACCAGTAGTGAAAAACAAATAGAAAATTCTAAGGAGAGTGATAATGAGGTTGAAGAGAGTAATAATGAGGTTCATAAGAGTTTTGATGAGGAAAGAGTAAAGATTGAGAAAAATACACCGACGCCATCTGAAGGGGAGGTTGTCGAAGAGGTAGAGAAGGAAACATCTATTGTTGTTCCTCCTCCCTATAACCCACCTATTTCTTTTCTGCAAATATTTGTGGAAGCTAATGTAGATGCCCAATCCAATAAGTATATGGAGAATATCCACACCAATGAACCTTTGTTTGAGGTCCTGCATAAAAAGAGAAAATTTGAGGACCATGAAACTAGGGAAATCATTAGCATTAAGAAGGGAAGGTTAACATTTGAGATGGTGGGTGAAATAACTAAGCCCAAACTTGAAAAGCTGGTAATCAAGATAGATCCTGAACCACCACCATAAGTTCAAAAGAATGAACCATCCCACAAAAGAAAGAAAAGAAAAGGCGAGAGATACATGAGATGGCTTGATAAATTTCCATGGAAACCAAAGACGATTAAACATTTGATCTAGGAGTCATTCTCGAGAGAATCACCCTGAGTACCGACACTCTTGAGTCGTCGAGCTACCGACGTTAAAAGAAGTGCTGCGTGAACTCACGAGTTTTTAATTTAATATTTTTTCTTTTGTTTGAGTTTGCAGAAAATAAAGATATTGATCACTTGACACCAATCAGTTATATATAGGAAACTATCGAGGAAAGCAATGATCAGGTTCTTATTCCTTTTCCCACTTTTTACTGAAACATTGAGGAC